ACTGTAGAAAGATATGGCATTGCGCACAAGATACTCCATCCATTCACTCATCAGGTGAGAAAGCAGTTGACACACTTAAACACAAGATCAATACCGTAGAGGATGGGAGAAGAATCCAGAATACCCCAACAGGCAGTCGATTCCATGTACACACACATGGGCACCTTTGTGGCACGACGCTTACCTGAGTGGCCGGGGTCTTGGGATGAAATGAAACTCATCCCCCTTCTCACATAGTCCTCCTGACTCAATTAGCATCCTCTACACTAGTGTCCTATCATCTAGGAGGGTCAACTTCTACCCCAAAGTACGAGGCCGGATCCCCTGTCGATGTTGAAGATCGAAGTAGCAAAAGTGCCCTTCATTGTCGCCTCTCTCAAATTGCATCACAAAGTCCCACCTGGTGTCTCACCACCACACACACACACACTAGCAACCTGGTGGGGTCTATTGTCGACCCTACACAACCATGCCAGCTGGGAGCAGCTTCCCTTTCACCACGCTGCCACACTCAACCCTAACTTCCTGCCCTAGCCCTAACTGGTTAGCCCTAATCACTTAGGTTAGGGTTATGGCGGCAAAGTCAACTCTCGCCAGGAAGTAGAATCCGCTTCGATACCAATGTTACGATCCTGGCCAATTTCAAAGTACACATTCATCAGAAAGTACAATGCCGTCCAATTGCAAAAAGAAATGAATGTACTTGAGAGACGAAGAAGAAGATGTACACCAGCAAAGACCAATGAGGATTCCCTTCTTCTTCACCAACCACTCTCCTCCTCCTTTTCTCCGCCCCTTATATTCAAACAATAAATAATAATAATAATGTTGAATGGCTGAACCAGAATCAATGTCTGAATCGTTCTTCCACTGCAGGCACAACATGAGGTCCACCATAGCCATGACCACCCTTCTTCTCCCTCTTCATGTAGGCCAAGGCTATGGCTGACTACTAGGGCCTCACCCTGCTGTGCAAAGGACAACACAAAGCAGCAGTGCTTGGCATTGCTTGCCGCTGTTTAGGCCGCCATGCCTGACCGTGCCTTGAAGCCTTCTTGGTGCGGCGCAACCCCAACTGGGGCCTTTCAGATGCAGCGCCTGACAAGGAGCCAGGTAGGTACCTCACCACTCTCCTCCTCAGTCCTCTTCTCCCTCCTCCTCCTACCAGTAGAGCTCCACCATAGCTGAGGTGGGAGCTCCCGGTCCCCCTAGCAGCGCTGAAGTACCCAGCGCTCCTCCAGCCAATGCTCCAAGCAGTGTGTCGCCAAACTTGCACACCGAGGAGGAGCACTTTGCTCCTCCTGGAGATATAGCGGCCTACTTGCCTCTTGGGCGGTGACTTCCTAGGCTGTGCGGCCTCCAAGCAACCAGTACCTCCTCCCTTTGGGAGGGAAACATCATTGCAGACTCTGATATTGCCTGTACAGGCCCTAGACTCAGACTGGTTGGACTGGTACCCGCCTAGACCTAGCCTACCACTACTGGGCCTCTAAAAATGCCGACTTGTCTTCTTCTGCTCGGCCTGGAGTACCCAGCGCATCTACTCCTACTTGGTGGGGTACTGGCCTACCTGCTACTTGAGTGTTTTTCCGCTACTGTTGTGGGCCTCTTTCCCCGCCACTTTGACTGTTTTCCCCTGCTGCAACCCTCAATGTCACGGCCACAGTTAAGTACCAGCCCTACGGGCCTCCCAAACAAGCAAGTACCCTTGCCGGTCACACACACACTCAGACCAACCAGCACTGAGACAGGCACGCAGACCATCAAGCACGCACACACACACACGGACTTGGACAAATCAGCAGAATGCGGGAATCTCAGCAAGGCATCCATTCCAGCGGCAGAACTCAGAAATCAGCAGTGTTCTTAGTCTGTGTTTTGGTGGGTCATTACACCCCCATCTTCCCAACATGGTTTTTTCCCCGTTTAGTTCCCTCATGTGCTGTACTTAGTTCTCTCTCTCTCTCTCTCTCTCTCTCTCTCTCTCTCTCTCTCTCTCTCTCTCTCTCTCTCTCTCTCTCT